CGAACAAGAGACAAGAGAGCTCGAATTTGGCCGCAGCCTGCTGCGAGGCCGCTGCGCAGCTCAACAAGAACCCAAGTTTGGCCGATCACCGATTCTGAAAGAGATCGACTTCACCTGTGGATCTCTGACATTGAGATATGTTGAAATCAATCATAAAGCGCAAATATCTCCCTCATCATGATGGAATCATGCTCACAGGTCTATGTGAATTCTATCGCGCTGCGAATGTTATCGAGATTTGTTTTAATTCCATTTTAAGAAAGCGATTCTCGTCGAACGGCTTAACAATGCGTGACTAGCCAACGTGGGTGCTTCTGCCATCTTGGGTTCAAGGCCGAGCAGCCTAAGTTTTTTTGCTAAAATTCCGAAATGAAATCAAGGCTTACATCTTGGACATTTGTCAATCCAATCATCATCCTATGGTGAGCTCTTGACTGAGCAAGAAGAACAAAAGTTTTTTAAAAAAACATGTCGTCCTTTTTGGACTTGTACTTGTTTGTCTCATAGGGCCGAAACAAAAAAGCACAAAAGTTTATCAAGGCTTGAACACACTACTAATGAGGGGTCAAGAGTGTGAAGACAACCATCTAGGCAGACCATTATACCAGGGAGACTATTTTTTTTTTTTTTTTTTTTTTTTTAAATTTAAAGTGCTTTTGATTTCACACACCGCACTATCTATCTTCGTAGGTTATTATGGTGTAACTACAGTACAACTTCCTCTGTTTTAGTCCTACCAAAGGTATCATCGAATGAGAGCTGAATTTGACTGTATGGTTGATCTGGACATACCAAGCTCCAGATATGCTGTGAATATAGTCACAATGTGTCTCAAAATGGTTCAAAGTCAGAGATCCATGGGTGAAGTCGATCTCTTTCAGGATTTGTGATTGGCCAAATTTGGGATCTTGACAAGCTGCGCAGCGGCCTCGCAGCAGGCTGCGGCCAAATTTGACCTCTCATGTCTCTTCTTCGCGATCAAACCGGGCAAGCTTTTTAGCAAAGGTAGTAAACAGCCTGTATGGGTTACACGACGTCCCAATCTTGACCGGGAGAGTGCAAATCTGCACGGCGTACAAAAAGGCAAATATCACCAAAATCTGAAATATTGTCCAACCTAACCTGTCATTTCGTACAAGACGAACGATCTTATGCTTGGATCAAAGGCATAGACTGTTTTAACCTGTCAGTTTCTACACGGCCGCGGTTTTGCCTACCTCCGCGCAAATTTGGCATACATGCTCAAACCTGTCAGCAGGACATCGTACAGAGCAGTTTTTTACACGCCAGCGGTGGAGATGCTCTTACATATACAGAAACTCAGCATTCATGATCCGCCCGTATCAAAATCTTTGTGACCATATTCTACCTTCATTCATTATTTTCTTACATACCCCCTATCCTTACCAAAACGAGATCCAGTGAGGCTGTCCTCAAGTGGCGAGCATATATCGTTGATACCGTTTTTTTAGATGGGCTGCACGCCTACAGCAACGGTCAACAAGCTGACCATAGTGGTCGTCGGGGGTACGCATCGGACGGTTTGCTTATCTTCCCACATAACCAAATTTTTGATTGCTGACTCTTTCCTGCTTCGGTTGTGGTTTGAGTGAGAAGAGGGCGGTGTCGGAAAGTCTAGCCTCACGTTGCAATTCATCAAGAAGGAATTTTTTGACACGTAAGTACATTCTGGCCTTCCCTTTGCCTTATGCCGCCAATATGGTGGATGTCTAACTGCCCGAAATTTTGCCTTCCTGAACATCAACACAGATACGACCCTGTAAGTTTTGATCGTTAGCAAAGGGTACAAAATGACCATCACCGTGCCTTCATCATCGCGTTTGGATACCCAAGATATGTCTTACGATATTTTTCACTTTGCAGACCATAGACGACAGCTACACAACTACTATGACGGTGGATGATCGTCTCTGGCAGATCGAAGTGTTGGACACCGCCGGTCAAGAAGAGTACCGGTAAAGTGCAAAACGCTCAATATTCGACGGTCAATGTCACATGTATTGGAATATGATGCACTGATATCATTGCAATCCACTTTGGTATTCCGACGATAGTGGTCTATGGGTGGAACATGCCATCTCGGAGGGAGAAGCTTTCATCATCACCTATGCAATAAACTCGACTAGATCATTCAGAGCCGTTCCCGATTTTTTGAAGCTGATTGCCAACTGCAAGAGTGGCAACTCTGGCTATCGAAGCAACTCTCCAGTTCTCAAACCAAGACACTTTCCCTTCCCTTTTGCAATTGCAGGAAATAAGGAAGACTTGGTTTCGCAAAGGACCATCCCGACGAGCGAGGGGGTTCAGTTGGCAAATGCAAGCGGGGGGTTATTCTATGAATGTTCGGCAAAAAAGGCCGTGAGTAGCTACAGCTGAAGACGAATTCACGAACCATTTGTGGTATTTAACATCTCCAAGCGCTTTGATCAATTCATCTGATAGAAGCCTGACTTGATTTTTTTTACATGTGATCAGGTCAATGTTGAAGAGCTCTTCATTCAACTGATACGATCGGTTGCAAAGCTACGTGAAGGCAGACTTACCCACCGCAAAGATTCAAAGATGACCGCGTGAGATTTCGAAATGATCCATCCTAAGATATGCACCGGTCTGACATGTTTCGAAAACAGTCGTCCATTTATCAACAACATTGGCTACCAGCTCTCGCACCCGGCAACGCATGAGCCCCAATCACCTTCCGTTTCAGCCGTTCAAAAGCAATCGTTCACTTCTAGCCAGAACGCCCTGCAATGTATAGATCCCGATATTTGTAACTCAAATTCTGTCGACGGTCCTGCTCAATCACAAATCTGTCCATCTGCACACAAATGTCACAACAGCCACGCTCCATCGACAGAAAACAAAGCAACTCTATGTTGTCACTGCATTGTGGTATGAGTATCTACAATTGTTCCATTGCAGGCTGGATGGGAAAGTCGTCTCATTTTGCTTCTCAGATTTGCAAGCGTCCCGCCAAGGAATTGACTCTTGTCTCTGGTAATGTATATTAGTGGTATTCCAATTAAGAAGTCGTCGTAGATATCATGTCTCTTTTCACAGTCATCAGAGTTGAATTATAGTATCTCATAATTGGAAAAATAATAGGTATATCCCTGTATGTTGGATTGACTTATGTGTTTGCTTTCAAAGTCTTTTTCATTGATGTGATTACATGAATTAATCATTGTCTTACATCATCTCTTGTTACCTTTTCGTATCTTCATTTGTCTATATTACATCATGTATTCCAAATACGGAATGATACGTCATCAACTCTATGATGTCATACTATGATTTGATTTTTGCTTTCTCTTTATAACCTGATCACACAACAGTCTGATGTTTTCCTTTTTCCTCATCTGACTGCATCTTCTAACAATCTTATTATAAGATTTGTTTCATTGTCATTTCATCTTACTTATACTAAGATTGTTTTGTTTGGATTCAGGTAATAAAGAATTCATGATCTGACTGCATCTTCTAACAATCTTATTATAAGATTTGTTTCATTGTCATTTCATCTTACTTATACTAAGATTGTTTTGTTTGGATTCAGTCCAACAGGTTATGAGCGCCTAGAAATCTCGATTCTTCATCCTCGATTTCGTTTTTCGATTTCGATTATTAATTTTTTTCGATTCATTATGGCATCTTCCTCATCCGCACCTCCCGCTCCCCCACCAGCAGATTCGGTTTTGACGAAAGGCAAAGAAGTATCTAAGCCTAAGGAACCTTCTACCCCTCCGACCAACTTTGATGATCTGTTTTCGGTTGGGTCTAAATGGGGTCCATTAGCACTTCCGACTTCGTCCGTCGTGGGTCTCACCACTTTGGAACCTCCGGGCGAAAATTCCAACTACGGGAATTGGGAGTTAGCGATGTCTGGATCTATAATAGGAGCAGGAATGGGTCATGTTTTGAATCCTAAGCAGAGAGAAGCTGATCAACCTAACTTTCATTGGACTCAGCAAAACAACGCTATTTGCTCTGTTCTCCTGCGACATGCTCATCCTGAAAACTACGGTGTGATGAGACCTAATATGGGTAATGCTGCGGCCATGTGGCAGGCTCTTTCTGATTCTCACAATGACGCATCAATGGGTTCTAAAATGCTAGTCTTACGTCGATTGATTTCGTGTCAAATGGTTAACGATGACATTGATACTCACTTATCCAACGTTGAGAAACTCTCTACTCAACTGGGACAACTGATCGCCAAATCAAAGCTCAGCATGGTCGACATCATTTGCGCCGCTATCAGTGCTTCGTTACCGAATGATTGGAATTCGACCATCAGCAGCCTTATGAATCAAACAGATGTTACAGCTGCCTCTCTAGTTTCTGCTTTAAAACGCGAAGGTATCAGACGTCGTGATCAATCGAATGCCTCATCTCATGTGCTAGCTGTTACTCAAGACAAAAATCAACCTGTGTCGAGTCGTTCGGTTTCTTCGACGATTCAATCCTCTTCGAGACGAGGGAATAAACGACCATCTTATCCAAGACAAGTCAACCCAGCCACCGCCGATTTAATTTGTTCTCATTGCCACATTAAAGGTCATAGCTGGCAAACTTGTAACAAATTGGCTAAACAATTTTTTAATCAAATGTTACAAAGCAATCCTTCTTTTTCTTCTCAAGCTCCTATGCCTCGTCCAGAAGCTAATTTAGTCCAGCTAGAATCCTCTTCTCAATCATCTAATTCGGTTCCCTTATCAGCTTGGAACCCTGCACCTGACACGGTTTTTCATCGCCCTGAAGGGTCTGGTTTTTTAGTAACCACCGATGTATTCGCTTTGAACACGAATACTGGTAAACATCTATGGATCTTAGATTCCGGTTGTACACAATCATGTCTTCCTAACTTCACCTCTGAAGAAATTTTAAATTCTACCCCGTCTAATGATCAATATGTACAATCAATCCGAGTTGCTAATGGTCTCAGTCTGAACGTTTCTCAACAACGTACCTTGAACCTTCCATGGTCAAAGTCTCAATTTAATGTAATTGAAGTACCCGGTTTACAACACAACCTCCTGTCTATATCTCAGCTTCGATCCCTCGGTTTCTCCACTTTGTTTCTACAAGATGGCATCGAGATTATGAACAAAGATGGATCAGTTGTTGCTAGAGGTTCTTATCATGGAGGCTTACCGGTTTTAGAACAAGATGTCAGCACTTTCGCCCTTGAATCTGATCACTTAACCACTTCTAATCCTTCATTCTATCATTGGCATTGCATGATCGGTCATCTAGGAGAAATAGGAACTAAACGAGCTTTGTCTAGCATGAATATTTCTGTTCCAATTACCGAAGAAGATGTTAATCTTGTCAAAAATTGTATCCATTGCTGTAGAGGAAAACTTCATAAGAAAACTTTTCGTACCAGATCAGTCTATTGTGCTCAATCTCCTTTCAGCGTAGTTCATTCAGATGTAGCGTTTTTACCTCTAAAATCCAAAGCTGGCTTTCCGTACTTTGTTTCGTTTATCGATGATTATTCAAAATTCACAGTCTGTTATGCTATGAAATCAAAAGATCAAGTTCATCTTTACTTTAAGAAATTTGTCAACTCTATCAAAATGAGATTCAATCTTCCTGTCTTAAGCCTGAGGTCTGATAATGGAACTGAATATTTGAATGAGAAAATGAACAAATTTTGCCTCAGCAAAGGAATCACGCACATTCAAGGAGCCCCCTATACACCTGAATCGAACGGTGTGGCTGAACGCTGGAACCAAACGGCTTCAGAACGTCTACGCACTCTTTTTTCTTCATCTGGAGTTCCCATGTACTTCTGGCCCGAATGTCTTCAACAGATAATTCTCTGTTTTAATAACTTTCCAACCAAGACGAGCGCAGGCCTATGCTCTCCCCTATCAGCTCTTGATAAATCACCGGAAGACATCAAACTATTTGCACCTTTTGGTTGTGCCGTAGAGTATCTCATACCTTCTCAACTTCAGTCTAAACTTTCCCCGGTTTCACAGCAAGCAGTTTTTCTTCATGCAGTTCCAGAAGGGAAATACATTGTGGCTTATGATAGATCACGCCATTTGCTTGTCAAAACTTCGTCTTTCAAATTTTTTCCTACTCTTTTTCCTTTTTTATCGAATCCTACTCAACATCCAAAGGATGTTCTTTCCTTCCCGTGGCCTGATTTATTAGCCATGGAAGAACCTGTCCAACCGTATCATGTGGTTACACAATCAAAATTGTCACAAATTCATTCATCTTTAACACCTTCTGAACCACTTCCTGAATCATCTCGACCTACTAACTCACCTGAACAAATGTCACCGATACAATCTCCTGTTCAAAATCCACCTCCATCACATTCCCCTGTCCAAACTCCTCAACCACCACCAACACCGACAGTTATACCGCCGGAATCACCAGTTCCATCGTCGCCAACACCAGTACCTAATCCACCCATTTCACAGCCTATCCTCAGACGAGGTTCAAGAACACGAAAGGAACCTGACAGGTATATACCTTTGGCTTTCGTAATTGACACAACTTCTCCCGAACCAAAGTCGTATTGAAAAGCTCTCGACAGTGAGGAAGCTTTGGAGTGGAAGAAAGCGGCTAAGACTGAGATCGATACACTTCTCAAGTTGGGAACTTGGACTTTGGTACCTAGACCGTCAAACGCTAGTGTTTTACGATCAATGTGGGTCTTTAAACGCAAATTGTTACCGTCGGGTTGTATCGAGAAGTACAAAGGACGACTGGTGGTGTTAGGTTGTAAACAAATCCCTGGTGTGGATTTTGGAGATGTATTCTCGCCAGCGTCGAGGCAAGAATCAAATCACATTCTATTGACAGTTGCAGGTGTAAGGAAATGGAAGGTTAAAGGTTTAGACATCACTGCAGCTTTCTTACACGGTAATCCACTGGAAGAAGATGTCTATATGGAACAACCTGAAGGTTTCAGAAGTGAACAATTCCCTAATCATGTCTGTAAATTAATCTTACCCCTATATGGTTTACATCAATCTGCACGAAACTGGAACGATCGATTTACCGCTTCACTAATCAAAATGGGTTTAAGTCAGTCTATGCACGACCCTACATTATTTTTCAAACTAGTAAACAATGTGTTGGTAGGACTAGTTACAGTGCATATCGACGATATTTCAATCACGGGTGAAGACGATTTCATTTCTTCTACATCTTCCGCTTTACATGATAAGTTTCCTATTTCCGCCAATACGGATTTGGAGCATCATCTCTCTATTTCAATCACTCGCTCTAATGATCTTAAATATTTTACTCTTGATCAAACTTCATACATTTTGAAAATCACCAAGCAATTCTTTGACAAAGAACCGATTCATGTTCCAACTCCCTATGTCCCGGGTTTCAATTCACTTGTTCCAGCTACGGATGCAACGACTTCAAATCCGAATTACAATTCCATCATTGGTGCATTACTATGGCTTGCTCAATGCACGCGCCCTGACATAGCTTTTGCTGTAAACCGTCTTTCCCAATTTTTAAAAAGAAATGATGTCAAACATTGGAACACTGCTCTACGGGTTCTTGCATACGTTTACCATACTCGACAACTG